TGCATTTCAGTCAGACAGCAAACAGGACACATATCTGAGTGTTGAAAACCTGAGCATTTCTACCTGCAAATGCAGAGAACAGCTGTCAGTCAGCCGTCCAAGTCCCTCTTTACTCCCTTAAGCGGCAGGATATAGAAGTTGTGATACTCACAGTGCAGCAGGAGAGGGAGCTGCTTCAAGGGACTGACAATTCCACTTCCCACTTGGGAAGCAGGCGAAGGCAGCGGCTGGGTCATGCAATTCAATCCCCTGATTGGGACTTTGAGATCTTGCCCTTGGGGCCCACAGGGCAAAAGGGCTCTGAGGACACGGCAGCGATGGTTCAGAGTTCTGCAGCTGGGGCCTGAGTGGCGGCAGGGCCAGCGCAGCTCCCTGGCCATTTTGTTCCATCACCTGCCCTCCTGGGTCCCTGTTCACCTGCTTACTGGTGTTCTACCTTTCCCATCAACTCTAGGCTTGCTGAAGCAGTCTCCTTCTGTGGCGTGATTCCGTCAGTGGTTGCCAACAGGAAACATCTGATACACCAGAAAGTCCAATAGGTTAAGGGCCCATGTGGAACTCCGGAGAATTCTGTGGCATGGAGAGCGAGGGCAAGACATAAGAGACCAGCCCGGGATACCTGCAACTGCCATGGCACACAAAGGGCAAGGGAGGGACTCTCAAGTGGTGGATGGAGGGAACCTGGTGGAGGAGCAAGGAACCACCCTCGGCCATGCAGGGAGGAAGTGGACAGAGTGGTACCCAAGAGGCCGCAGGATCCTGAGCCTTCCTTCAAGTCACAGCTGTGCCCAGTGGAGCATTTCATTGTTGGGATAGTGGGAGCAATGGCTCAATGAAATCGTCCCCACCTTTCCCCTTTCTACCTAGGCTGCTAGGAGGACCAGCTTTCTCTCTGCTTCTAATGTTGGTTAACTATCAACAGCGATTCCCAGGCAAGCCGAGAGAGAGATGCTGTTGCCATATTTCACACAAACTAAGACACCACCAATTGGAAGGTGCACCATTCATTATTTTATGTATCCAGGAAGAGAAAACTGCCAAATAAATAATGACATTGATTGCAAAATGTGTCCAATTGCAGAAATAGTAAAATATGAAAAAACTGTGTCTCCAAATCAATAACATGCAGTAATAATAATGAAATACTAATTCAGCTCCTATTTATTACGCCCTCTGCCAAGTTCTTTGCCTGTTTCCTTGTGGACTCCCTCAGGAACCCTATGTGGCAGGTGCTATTATGATTCAGAAAAAGTGAAGCTTAAACATTTGAGTAAATTGGTCCCCTAGCCAGGAGACGAGGGGCACTGGACTCAACTGTCTGGCTGCTTTAGAGCAAGCTGAGAGAAGAGTCAGAACAGAAGAAGGAGGAATCTTACCTCATCTTGTATTGCTGGAAATCTAGATGCTCAATAAATAATTGAAGGAAATGGCTGGTCTGAACAGGTAAAAAGCATTTCGTGGAGGTCTGATAGTGCAACCGCTCTGTGAGTATTGGCCATTCACTCTGAAAATCTAAGGTAATATGTAAACACAGTATCCTTGTGGAACATTAAAGAATTGTAGTTAAGGCTAACATCCCTTTGGCCACTTATCATACTGTGAGTTCTCTACCCTCCTTCTACCCTAAGGTAAAGAATTCAGTCATTTTGGCGTGCTTCTTTGAGGATGATTTCTGTATATATAGGGAAAGCATATGGTATTGTACTGAGGGATGTCTCATTTACTTTTCTTTCAAAAATAACTTTATTGAGATGTAATTTGCATACAACAAAATTTGTTATTGGATCAATTTGCTGCTTTTGTTTTCACCAGGGCCTTTTCACTGAGCTACATTCTCAGCCCTTTTTATAGTTTTTTTTTATTTTGAGACACGATCTTACTAAGTTTCCCACACCAGGCTAAATTTGCGATCTTCCTGCCTCAGCCTCCCAAGTGCTTGGATTCCAAGACTGTGCCACCACACCTGGTTTGTTGGATCAGTTTTGACGAATACACACATCCTTGTATCACATAAACAATACAGATGCAGAACCACATAAGTTCCTTCTTGACTGCTGACAGCCAACCCCATTCCTACCACCCAGAAAAACTTTCATCTGTTTTATAGTTTATATCTGGCTGCCCCCCCCCCACTACTGCTGGGTTGGTTTTGAGAGGCTGGGTTGGTCAGAAGAGGTGGGTCACTGGGGTGCTACCTGGAAGGATGTGCTTCCCTCTACAGCTCCTCCTTTCTCTCTCTGCTTCCTGTTTGCCATGAGATGAGAAGCTTCCTGTGGCCAAGGCCCTTCTACCATGCTGTCAACCAGTCAAGGACTGAAACTTCGGAAACTTTAGCCAAAAAACCGCATCCCCTGAAGTTGTGGGTGTTGGGTATTTTGTCCTTGCAACAAGGCAAAAGACTAAGACAATCTACTTTCTGTCGCCATGGCTGTTTTTACCTTGTATAGAATTTCTCATAAATAGCATCATCCTATAGGTACTTTTTGGTATCTGGGGCCTTTCACTCAGCATGGATTTCAGGTTCTAGGAATTGTTGTAGATATTCATAACTGACCCTCATTTGTTCCTGAGTAGAGTTTCCTTGTATGGATAGGCTGTCACATACTTGCTCTCCTCTTGGTGGACATTAGGGCCTTCTCATTTGGGGCTTTAAAGAATAAAACTTGTATGAATGTCAGCCTACAAGACTTTGGACACACATTTTCACTTTCCTTGGGTAAATGTGCAGAAGTGAAATTATTGGGTCATTTATTGAGCACACGTTTATCTTTACAAGACCCTGCCAGATTGTCTCCAAGGTGACAGAGCTCCACTCTGCTTTGCCACCTTTGCTACAGAAGAGTTCCATGAACTCACCAGTTCTTGGCATGGTGAGTTTTTAATTTTAGACATTCTAATAGGTACATGGAGTGCTGACTCACTGTGCTTCTAATGTGACTTTCCCTAATGCTACAGGTGGAATATTTGTGAAATCGTGTGTTGAATCTTTATCACCAAGGTGATGGTTTTAGGAGGCAGAGTTTAGATCATGCTTAGGTCATGCTTAGATCGTGAGGACAGTCCTCTCACGAAGGAGATTAGCACCCTCAGGTAAAAGACCTCAGAGAAGTCCCTTGCACCTTTGTCTGCTTGTACCTTTGTCACATGTGCACTCAACAAGCAGATGGTCATCACACAGCCAGAAAGTAAACCCTCAGTACATACTAGATCCGCTAGTGCTTTGATCTTGGCCTTTCCTATGTGCAGAACTGTGAGAAATACATTTCTGCTGTGTATCAGTCACTCTGAGCGCTGCCCAGATGGACTGAGACACCTGGTGACTAGTGGTGTGGAACATCTTTTCATGTACTTCTCTCTTTGGAGCTGAGCCTGTTTGAATCTTTCTTCCCTATTGAGTTTTTTGTCTTATTATTGAGTTATAAGCTTCTTTATATATTCTGGATACAAGTCCTTTGTCAAATATATATATGCTGTGAATATTTTTTCTCTGTAGCTTACTGCTTCATTTTCTTAATAGTATTTTGGGAGAGCAGAATTTTCACATTTCTGTGAAACATGGCTTATTCTTTTTTCCATACTTTTTGTGTTTTAAGAAATCTATGCCGATCCTCGGGTCACAAAACTTTCTTCTCCATACACTTTCTCCTTTTAGAAGTGTTATATGACTATGATCCATTTCAACTTACACTGGGGATAAGAAGGTGAAAGATTTTGTTTCTGTCTGCAAGAACTCACAGCTCAGTGTAAGAGACAAAAGACAAGCAACGATTATAATACAGTGCAGAGAGTACTAGATAGAGGTGTGGACACCCGTACACCACCTTTAATTTAACTGCATAAATGTAAATAAGTGCACATAAAATTAATACCACAAAGGATGCTTTGCTCCTTAACAGATTCCTGCTTGTTTTTAGAACTGTCATCCAAGACAGGCTCCTAGGGTCCTCCACACTGGAAAATTGAGCAGCCATTGTTTCAATCTTATTTTACCTGGCCTTTCTGCAGTTGCCTACCTTGAGCATCATTCTCTCCTCAACCATCTCTCTCTTAATCTGGGCACCACATTCTGCTGTATTTCCTCCAAACCTTTTCTCTTTGGCTGGCACCTGCTCCCACCGGAGTACAACCTATATCTGATTCATTTATCTATCTCTGTCTCTATCTATCTATCTACTTATCCTATTCTAAGTTTTCTCATGATCTTATATACCATCCATCATCTACATGACAAGGACCCTCAAATTATTCCAACGGTGTTATGGTTAGTGTCTAGATGAACACCCAAAATCTTATGCAGTCATAGGGCTTTTCAGAGGTGGCTGAATCTAGAGTGTGTGATGCTGAGATTAAGGGTGTGTGGTTAGTAAATCAGTCCACTGATTGGGTTGGCACAGTTCTGGCTAGCATTGAAGGTATGTGTGCTACATGCACCTAGGGTGGGTAGCCTGCATACAGTATAAGGGACAGAAAGAGTCTTGTCTCTCTCTTCCTTGTGTGCTTTTGCTGTCTTCTGCCTGCCATGAACTATTCTCTGTGAAGCCACTCTGCCATGGAACCTGCCAATTATGGACTGAAATCTCTACAAATTGTGAGCTAAATAAACCTTTCCCTCTTTAACTTTGGTATTGGGTATTTTGTCTCAGCAACAAGAGAAAAGTAACTAAGACAAATGCCAACCCACACACTGTTCCTAGGCTCCAGGACAGAAGAGTTCCAGGTGCTCCATGTGCTCACCAATTCTTACTGGTACAGTAGGCTTTTTAATTTTAGCCTTTCTAATATATACATAGGGTCTCAATTCATTGTGGCTTGAATGTGTCTTTCCCTGATGCTATAGATTATTTGTGAATTCATATGTCAGGGCAAAAGAAAGTTTCTTATCAAGATAACCATGAACTATTCAGTTACATATTAATATAGTCCAAAAATTCTACTTCCATATATTTACCCAAGAGAAGTGAAAGTATGTGTGCCCAAACACTTGTATGCTAATGGTTTTGAGAGCTTTATTCTTAAAAGCCCATTGTTTATCCAAATCCATCTGTCTCCATGTGATTATCTAGCAGACATCTCAAACTTCACAGATCTAAAGGAGAGCCCTTGATTCTATCCTTTCCCATATCTGCAGCTCCCTGATTTCCTGCATCTCAGTCCATGGTGTGGGCATCCTGTGGTGGATGAGACCTTTTTGGACCAGGTGCCTTGGCTGAGGAGATTTAATGAGACAAGTTAGTGATGAACATGCTCAAGTCCAGGATCGGGGTGGAGTTTCCATAGTTTGCCTCTTCCTCTGCACTTATAACAGTCTGAATGTTAAAATGCCCCACTTGAAGAAGAAAAAGACTTGCTGTCTTTGGGTCCTTGTCATTGTTCTGGGGCATCCTAATCCAATGGATACAGGCCAGTATGTTCATTACATCTTCACCATGATATGGACAATCTGAACAATATTGGATAGGGACAAAGAGGAGTCAGTATTTAAGATGTAGACTTTCTAGCAGGATGCAAGAAAGAAACCCACCTCTCCACTCCCCCACTCCCACCCCTTTGTTGCCTTTTGACCCCCTACCCACTCCTCAGAGCTTCCTTTCAGTGACCCATCAGTGACCACTGGGCAATGGAGAGCTCTCCCATATGGAAACTGCTCTAGCCTTTGCCATCTGTACTGGTCATTAGCTTTTTATGTGCAATCACTTAAATTTATGTGATTAAATTAAAGGAGGTGATGGTGTGCACACCTCCATCTAGTTCTTTCCATGCAGTATTGTAATTGTCAGACGGCTGTGTGTCTCCCCACCAAGCTCCTCGCAGGCAGAGACATCTCTACGCTTTCCACATCTCCAGCACCAGACACCCAGTGGGTGCTCAACAGCATTAGAATGTATGAGTGTCAGAAAGCACTTTGTGACTGTGAAGCGTTAAGTGTGTTTGGAGCATGGCGGCGATGCAGTTTGATGATGGTGCTGTCATACATTTCCTCCCCGGTGAGGACTGTGCTTTCCTCCTCCATGAGCATATCAGAAGACAGCCTGGGTCCCACACAAACGCGGTGGCCACTGCCTACACCTGCTGGTTAATTTTAAGGAGATTCTGGTTGCCTCCCCTGCCTCTGACTTATCTCTTGGAACCTGCAACCAGAGCTCTAAGCTGGGCTCAGATGAATAGTATGAATCCTACCCTGCTTTGTTGGTCACTAGCTGGTAACCTGCACAGATTCCATTCTCTCTGAGTCTTGCTTTCTCAATTGCAAAATGAGAGGCTGGGCATCCTGAGCCCAGGGTGCCCTGCATAACCTCTGACCTCAGCACAGCGGCTGTGTCTCCACTGAGGCCCAGGGAAGGCTCGAGCGTTAGATGATGTACACCAGTACACTTCCTCCACACGAAGCCTGGGTGGAGGGCGGGAAGGTCTTGGGATCAGTAATCAACCACAACATGGCCGTGACAGGGCGGAAGCTTGGTGCAGAACCAATCTCCCTTTAAAATTCCACATTGGCCGTGTGTGCCTTGGATAAAGTTCAGGTAATTGTGCCTTCAGCTTGCCTGCTCCCGCTCCCCCGCCGCTCCCCGGCTCTGCGCTGACAGAGTCATAATAATTGGGTGCCGCTGCTTAAGCTCATCAGCTCCAGCTTCCTGAAAGGAACATTGCAATTAGCAGTCCTCACCCTGTAATAAAGCCTTTAATATCCACTTTCATGGTTCATATTACAGTCATTCAGGCCTGTCCCCTCATACACAGCCTGTCAGGCGGCAGAGCAGGGTGCCCACGAGGGAGCTGCCCCGATGAACGCTTTGGCAAACAATTGTTCCAGGGGCCCAGCAATCCGGGCCAGGCAGCTAGGGAGCGGTGCTGGAAAATGAGAAAGGATATTTCTGCCCTCCGTGGCTCCAGAGGGCTGATGGGTAAAGGGGATGGGAGGCAGAGAGGAAGGGGCAGCTTCTCTGTCTCTCACTTCTGTACCCCACCTGCCCTCCCAGCCTTGCTGCAAGGAACTCTCCCCTCTCCCGACAGCCCCTTTTTATTCCACTGCTGGAGATTTGTAGAGAAGCAACCTGGGTGCAGTGGTGCATAGCTGTAATCCCAGCACGCTGAGAGGCTCAAGCAGGAGGACTGCAAGTTTGAGCCCAGCCTAGGCAACTTAGGAACTTACAGAAAGCTTGTCTTAAAATTTAAAAACAATTTTTAAAAAAAAGGGCTGAGATACAGCTCATTGCAAAGGCCCTGGGTCCAACCCCCAGTACTGAAAAAAAAAGGAGCAAGAAGATACATGTGGTACTGGGGAAAAACAGAGGGTTCTGGAGAGAGGCACTATACCTGTGCATACCTGCAGGCAGGTATGCACACCTGTATGAGGAAGGCTGTCCTAAATGTTGGGGCAGGGATGTACACGCACCCTGTCTCTCGGAGGAGAGACAGCTTTGGCTGGAGCTTCTGGCCATCCTTACCTGTACCATGCAAATTCTAAGAATTGCCCAGCCTGCTCTAGGAGCGCGCCTGCTGTGTGTAGGTGCATCACACAACCTCTCACTTAGCCACCGATCTGGAAATATTTAATGCGTACTAACTATATGCCAGCACAAAGATAAGAGAAATACAAGAGCCACCTTCAAGGAGCAAGATTTAGAACATAGATAATAACGGCAGTTATACAGGGAAATAGTAGCAATAGACACAAAAATAGCCTACAAGTGGGAGAGAGACTCCTAGACTTCCTGAAGAACAGGTTGTCACACGTGGCAGACTGTGTTTTTCTCACGTGACCACAGTACTATTTCTATTCCCCATGTTCTCTCAGAAGCTCACCGTGCCCATTTTCAGAGATGGAATCCACGTCCCTTTCCTTGAAACTGGCCAGGCCCTGGTAACAACCCCAGTGAGTAGAATATAGCAAAAGTGTTGCTAAAGGACTTCCTAGGTTAGGGCGAAAAAGGCCATGATGCATCTGCTGATCTCTCTCTCTCTCTCTCTCTCTCTCTCTCTCTCTCTCTCT